ATAGATGGAGTAAACAAAATATTCCATGATAAAATCAGATTTAAACAATACCTATTCACAAATACAGCCCTACAGAAAGCACTAGAAGGAAAAATCCAACCTAAGGAAGTTAGATACACCCATGAAAACACAAGCAATAGATAATCCCACAGCAACAAATACCAAGGAAGAGAAACACACAACACTACCACCAAAAATAACAGGAATTAACAATCACTGGTCATTAATATCCATTAATATCAATGGTCTCAATTCGCCTATTAAAAGACACGGGCTAACAGAATGGTTATGAAAACAGGATCCATTCTTCTGCTGCATACAAGAAACACACTTCAACTTCAAAAACAGACACTACCTCAGAGTAAAATACTGGGAAAAGACTTTCCAATCAAATGGACTTAGGAAGCAAGCTAGTGTAACTACCCTAATATCTAATAAAATAGACTTCAAACTAAAATCATTCAAAAGAGATCAGGAAGGACATTAAATATTTATCACAGGGAAAATCCACCAAGATGAAGTCTCAATTCTAAACATTTATGCCCCAAATACAAGGGCACCCACATTTGTAAAAGAAACATTACTAAAGCTTAAATCCCACATCAAATCCCACACACTAGGAGTGGAAGATTTCAACACCCTACTCTCACCACTGGATAGATCTACCAGACTGAAGCTTAACAGAGAAATAAAGGAGCTAACAGAAGTTATGACTCAAATGGACTTAATTTCCACCATAATTAAAAAAAAAATACCTTCGTCTCAGCACCTCATGGAACCTTCTCTAAAATCAACCACAGGCTCGGTCACAAAGCAAATCTCAACAGATACAAAAACATTGGAATAACCTCCTGTATTTTATTGGACCACAATAGCTTAAAGTTAGATTTCAACAACAAAAATTACAGAAAGCCTACAATCTCATGGAAACTGAATAATGCCCAAATGAATCACCAATGGGTCAAGGAAGAAATAAAGAAAGAAATTAAAGATTTTCTAAAATTCAATGAAAATGGAAGTACAACATACCCAAACTTATGGGACACTATGAAAGCAGTGCTAAGAGGAAAATTTGTAGCACTGAATGCCCACACAAAGAAGATGAAGAAATCTTACACTAGTGACTTAACAGCACACCTGAGAACCATAGAACAAAAAGAAGAAAACTCACCCAGGACGATAGATGCCAGGAAATAATCCAATTGAGGGCTGAAATGAATGAAATAGATACAAAGAGAACAATAGAAAGAATCAATAAAACAAAGAGTTGGTTCTTTGAAAAAAATCAACAAGATAGACAAGCCCTTATCCAAACTAACCAAAAGGCAGAGAGAGCATCCAAATCAACAAAATACAAAATGAAAAGGGAGACATAACAAAAGACAATGAGGAAATCCAGAGAATCATCAGATCATACATCAAAAACCTGTACTCCACAAAATTGGAAAATCTAAAAGAAATGGACAATTTTCTGGATAGGTACTACATACCAAAGTTAAATCAAGATCAGATAAACTATCTATCTATCGATCGATCGATTGATTGATTGATTTGACACTTTAAAAAATATTTCTTTATTATGTATAATGTTCTGTCTGCATGTATGCTTGCACGCCAGAAGAGGGCATCAGATCTCATTACAGATGGTTATGAGCCAACATGTGGTTGCTGGGAATTGAACTCAGGACCTCTGGTAGAGCAGTCAGTGCTCTTAACCACAAAAGCCATCTCTCCAGCCCCAGATAAACTATTTAAATAGACCAACAACCCCTAAGGAAATAGAAACAGTCATTAAAAGTCTCCCAACACCAAAAAGCCCAGGACCAGATGGTTTCAGAGCAGAATTCTACCAGATTTTCAAAGAAGAGTTAATACCAATACTCTTTAAATTGTTCCACACAATAGAAACAGAAAGAACATTACCAAACACTTTTTATGAAGATACACTTACCCTGATACTCAAACCACACAAAGATGCAACAAATAAAGAGAATTACAGACCAATCTCCCTCATGAACATTGATGCAAAAATACTCAATAAAATATTGGCAAACAGACTCCAAGAACACATCAAAAAAATTATCCACCATGACCAAGTAGGCTTCATCCAAGGGATGCAAGAATGGTTCAACATATGAAAATATATCAATGCAATACACCATATAAACAAACTGAAAGCAAAAAAAAAAAAAAACCATGATTATCTTATGCTGAAAATGCCCTTGACAAAATCCAACACCTCTTCATGATAAAGGTCTTAGAGAGATCAGGAATACAAGGAACATAAATAAACATAATAAAGGCAATTTACAGCAAGCCTACAGTCCACATCAAATTAAATGAAGAGAAACTCAAAGTGATTCCACTAAAATCAGGAACAAAACAAGGCTCTCCACTCTCCCCATATTTATTCAATATAGTACTTTAACTTCTAGCTAGAGCAATAGGACAACAAAAGGAGATCAAAGGGATAGAAATTGGAAAGGAAGAAGTCAAACTTTCACTATTTGCAGATGATAGGATAGTATACATAAGTGACCCCAAAAATTCAACCAAGGAACTCCTACAGCTAATAAACTCCTTCAGTAATGTGTCAGGATACAAGACTAATAAAAAAAAATCAGTAGCCCTCCTATATACAAATGATAAAAGGGCTGGCTGAGAAAGAAATCAGAGAAACATCACCCTTTTTAATAGCCAAAAATAATATAAAATACCTTGGGGTAACTCTAACAAAGCAAGTGAAGGACCTGATGATAAGAACTTTAAGTCTCTGAAGAAAGAAACCGAAGAAGATATTAGAAAATGGAAAGAAGTTCCGTGTTCATGGATAGGTAG